GAAAATGTTATTTCAAACAGAATGATTCTAGGAAAGCCTTTATTGTCTGCTCGAAAAAATTTACCGAGAATTCTCAAAACAGCCCAACAGGTTTACGGTTCAAACACTAAAATCTTCAATCCACCCTTGTATTAATCAATAGCTTTTGTTGTATCCTTGTCAAACTTTCATGTATTTGAATACCTGTGTACTCTAACAAAACAGCCACATTGTCAAAATTATGGATATGCCTTGCTGTGCCTACCACAAGAGAAATTAAAAAACCAAAATACATCCTTATACAAGAGGGCAACAGTGTTTTCAAAGCCGTTTTATAGTTCCATCTCTAAGCAGTACTTGCTGTTAAGTATAGAGTATAAACCTGTTGTCGAAAAATGCTTTTATGTCAGCAGAATCTTATAACTTGAGCCAAAATTTATTTTAATCATGTTCCCTCACTTCAACATTTTGGAATCCGTTTCGAGGAAACATAATTTTAAAAAACTACTGTTATTTTAAACGTAAAATTTGCATCTGACATTGCCTGATAAAAACATCGCTGAGATGGCGCGGAAGTCTGAAAACTTTGGTAAACAGTTCTTTTTCGAGTTTTAGTAACTGTTGTTTCCGCGGATTGCTGTTCGCTTTTACTTAATTATTATTTTGTCGTCCACCCGTGCCTCTTAATCTTGGCAACTTCAATTGTTTTGACAAAAATCATATGATTTTCTGTTCATACTTGTTAAAGATGTAGCTTGAAAACGTAAAATGGAGATTATTAAAAAAAACTGCCACCCCAAAGGAAAAAATTATGAAATTTTTTTTCGTCACTAAACTAGCAGCAAAAGAACTTGAATTTAGAAACTGCCATGAACCTGCATCCGTGCACCCAATCGACTCTCGTTATAGCCTTCTAACTGCTTGAAAATTACACAATGAGCAAGTTTTGAAAGGTTCAGTTGCTCAGTCGCTTCATCCAAAACAAACCTCTGTTCTCTGTTCCTTAAGTACGAATGGTTTCTTTAAAATTCAATGGAAAAATTTTTATTACTGATATCATTTCCACGGTGAGTACTACACAGTTGCAGAAACGATACGGAGCGGCAGCATTTCAGTACACATTATTTATGAAGGTTCATCGCCTGGTAATCGGTTTTAGGTTTTTGCGGCTGGAGTATGGGTTAGTCTGATGACTACGATTGCAATATATTTCGTAAGTCCCCAAAGAAGGTTTCAGCTGTAATTTTTCTGCCTATTTTCTTACGGCCTGATTCCTTCTTCAGCATATCTAGTCGCTACTGTTCTATGATCAATGGACTTCAGTTTGTAGCTCCATTGAACCTCAACGAGCACTGGATTTGTGTTTGTTTAGCATTACCTACCTTCTTGCACTTTTGATTTCCTTTGTCAACCAGAAGACAGCCCAGAGAACAAATTCAGTTGGGTGAGCAAAAATGGTGTCACCAGTTCATGCATTCAATCCTTTATTTGTCATTTTTTTGGTTGGTTTTTGTGCAGCCCATTCAAGACTTGACTTTTCTATGTAACTAACAAAACTTCTTAGCTGGGTCACGTTCAAACAGTTAGAACTGTACCTACTTTCAGTTATATCTGCATGAGCATACAACAAAATAGCAAGTTGCTTTGGCAGTTGGTATCAAAAATTTGTGACAATATAAATTTCAATTAAAAAAATCTCGTTTTCATTTTAAGAAAACTCAATCATGACAATTTCTTTGAAAAGAATCATGTTAGAGATAAGAAGCAAATAATTGGCAGCTAGTTTAGAACACATTTGGACAGATAAATTTTCGTCACAGTCAGCAATATTATTTTCAGACTGTTTGCACAAAATATTTTTTACTTCCTTTTTCATTCTAACTTTTCAAAGAACATTAACAAATCTCGTTCTACAAAACAAAAACAAAAAAAAAAAACATTATAAGTTTAGTTTAGCAGGAAAAAAGTTGCCTGTAAACAGTAAATATATCAAAATGAAATAGACATAAAAAGTGTCTAAAATTTAGTTGAGAGACCGAGAAAAATAATAACAGTTAACGTGAAATATGAGAAAGCAAGGAGAAAACTTTGATAACTTATTGCCCTTGATCGCATAGGGCTGTCGTAAGTCACCGTAAAAAAGCACGAACTAATATTTGGAACAGTATTGTGCCTCTTTTCTCTGTAGAAGCAGCAATTTAAGGTTACATGCAAGATTAGCATTATTTGATCAACATAATCCGCCCACAAGTTTGAACAACAAAAAAAAAA